TTTTTTTTTGTTTGTTTTTGTTTTTGTTTTTTGTACAGGGGATTGAACTTGAGTCCTTGTGCTTGTGAGGCAGGCACTGGAACTACTGAACTAAATCCCCAGCCCTCAAATGAGTGGTAAATTTTTTTTTTTATTATCCTGTGTTTGCAGTACATAAGAAATTTACTTGTTTTGGGGAATTGGCACGTATATATTACATCTTGATCATTTTTACTCCCCATTATCTCTTCCCTCCTCTCCAGGTTCTCTTCTTATCTCCCAAAAGTCCATCTCCATTTTCTACCATCTCTCCTTTATTTTGTTCTTTAAATCGTTTATATTTTGAATTTTTCATATTTTGTCAGTTGTTTTGTTTTGGTACTGGGTACCGGGGATCGAACTTGGGCCCTTGCACTTACAATGTAGGCAGTGAAACCACTGAGCCAAATCCCCAGCCCCTTGAGTTTCTCATATAAGAGAAACCATGCAATATTTAACTTCCTGTGTCTGATTGTAAATCAGTCTGGAATGAGTATGCTTGATTGGTGCGACCTAGGTCACTTACCCCACCTAGCTGCAAGTGCAGCTGGAAATGCAGTTTTCAGAATTCTAGTATGGAAACATGGGAGTAAATTTGTGGAGCCCTATCAAAAACAGAGAGGGAATGCAAAAGATATGATCAACCACAAATAAAAGATGTCCCCTCTTCTTGTCCAAAATAAGATTTTCCCCTTTCATTTCTGCCCATTGTTACTAAGGAGAAAAGCTAATTCTCAACTTGGGACTCTGGGAAAGCGGGCATCTGGTGGCTGTTGTTCATGGTGCGCAGGCCAGTGTAGGCACAAAGCAAAAAGATGTTTCTAAGAGGTGACAATGTTTAGAAATCCTTGTAGCAAAGCAGGATAATCAAGAGGAAGAATCTCAAAGGGAAGAAAGCAATAATAGCCTTCAAATTTGGTCTTTTAAGCAGTTTTTTTTTAAGTGCTGCAGGGTGGATTGCTGTGGGTAATTTGGCAATCTTTGCTTATGATCAGAGATTCAGAAACACACTAAACAAGAATTTCAAGTATTGCAGTACGATTTCGAGCTTCAAAAATGCCCACCTTTCAGTTCCTACTGGGGGTATTTGATCACCGTGGGGCACTTAAACCCAGCTCGAATGTATGGGGGATAATCTAAGGAAAAGTGTGGGAACCGCACTGTTCCCTTCCCCAGCCGTGGGCTGCTCTGACGGGACAGTATGAAATAACTGAGGGAGATTCAAGACAGCGAACTCTCGTCATTCCCGAAGCCAAATGATGGTGCCGATCACGTGGACTGAAAAGGCTCCATGTTGTCTAATTAATCACCTTCAGCGAGACTCAGATAAAACATCGAGCCTCTCTCCAGTTTTGCTCCCTTTTCCGCCCACTCTCTGTGGTCCACATATGTTACGTAGCACGTGGCCTGGTGGGCAAGAGGCGGATTATTACAGCGCATGCATAGCTTGAATGGCCTCCAGATCCAAGTCTAAGGATGCGTCACATCCCAGAGGGACTTGGCAGAGCCTCCAGGAGGAGAATGAGCACTTTCAGGGTCCTGCTGTCTACACTGTAATCACTCTACCCTTTTCTACGGGGCTGCCTTATTCTTCAGTTCACCGTGGAATAGATATCTATAAGTTGAAAGCATACTTTACATGTGACAACATATGACTACTCATATTTTAAAAATTGTCTTGTGATCCCTACTTAGTTCCAAGAGTTTTTAATGTCTATTTTAAATGTAAAAATATCCACTCTGATGTTAATGACTTCTATCTATTATTTTCAAATAAGGAATTTCTCTGTCTTAAAGTGATAATTGATAGCTCAGAACGCGCTTCTTTGGAAGCACATGGGAATTTGGCTGTCAGTTAGTTTTATCTATATTGATTAGAGAATGTATTTAAATACATGCGACAAAACCAAGCCACTCCAAATATCCATGACTTAAAGAAGATGGAAGTTGAGTTATCTCCCATATCATAAAAAGTCTAGAGGCTGGCAGTGCAGTGATCCACAAATTCAGAGCTAAGAGCTTTGTGTTTTCTCCAATTTCCCTTGCTCACCAGTCACAAGGTGGCCTCCACTGCTCCAGTCAACCTACCCCAGTTTCTTTCATTCAGGAAAAGAAAGGAAACAGAAAAGGGTGGGGGGTCTATATCATGAGAGTGAAGCTTTCTGAGAAATCCTCAGCCTCTGTGTTCTGGTCAGAACTGTGTTGCATGAAAGAAGCTGGGAAATGTCATATTTCAGTTGGGGACACTGCTAATCCATCACCACCCTCAGAAGACAAAAAAAAACCTCCAAACAAAACCTGCTTCTCTTACTAATGAAAGGAGAGAGAGGATGTTGGCTAGCTAGCAGTGTGGCCTGCTAAATATAACACGGAGTCCTGCAGAAGAACCAGGCTGTTAAGGTGGACGCGACAGTGGAGTCCCGGATAGTGGCGTCTCTGTTTGCTCAGAACCTGCCCCAACCACAGTCTCATTCCAAATTCTGAGTGCCAGAAATGCAAGGTGCTCAGACAGCGTCCTCCCAGCATGGCCTCCCTTCCTCTTCATCTCTGAAAATAAGAGACAGTAATAGCACCATATTATGGAGCTTGGAGGTAACTTCATTTCTAAAACGAAACCCAAGATGTGATACTTTGCAGATTTCTGTTTATGTGGAAAAGACCCACT